ATAATAGTAATAGTAGTAATTTATAGCGAAAATATGCCCTTATACACTCTTCTCCTTTATCTCCCCCCCCCCCCCCCCCCCCCCCCCCAAATTTAATCCCTCACGGACGAGATTATTCAAAAGGAATTCCCGATCAATTCCTTTTGATCTACAAATCGTTATTGTGTGCTTCACCTCCGAAATCGTAATCCGTGGAGGATTAATGATCGTCTTCATCCTTGTTTACGCGTTTATCGCGAACGCTCGAGCTCGTTTGTATACGCGTCTAAATACCTTCCTTCGAAAATTCCCCATTCATTTCTATAAGAAGAGATAAACTCGCACACAAGCGAAAATTTTATCTGAACGGAACTCTTTTTCCAAGGATTTACGATTGAGAGGCTCGTCTTCGAATTGGAAGGATCAGAGTCGCGCCACATGTCTTTTTGCGTTACATACATGATTCATTGTGTTAATTTACGAAAATATCGAACAAACGTGCACGATTCGCTATCGTCGCCATCGGTCTCGCGCCTTTAACTACGAAAAAGCTCGTGCGAGCTTTCTACTTATAAATTTGCCTATTATCCTTACCCTTTACATTAAATATATATATATATATATATTTATATATTTATAATATGTATATATATAATTTATACGAAGTAGCGTTAATCGAAAGATGTCAAATCAGTTCGGAACTTGCTACTACCGGCAGAAAAATAATACACGGTATATATCGATCACTTCTTCTTTCCACCGGCATCGTGCAAAGTTGAGATCATATAGCGTGCTTGTATGTACGATTTAAAATGTACGAGAAACAAAGCTGTTCACATCTCCCTGACGAAGATATTCTGTCGCGGATCTTGTTTCGACTACTCGTGTGTTTTATTTTCCTTCTCTACATTTCGTCTTGAAGCGTCGCGCGTGGTTGTCATTGCTGTACACTAATTATGTTATAAATGCCTTAACATTCGATCGAATGTATCGGAAATTTATCAAAGATCTTCCACGTGTTTATAAATCATGTTTAAATTGACACATCTAGCGACTAATTACAAGAGCACCTGCATACATCAAAAGAGTGTGATGATAATCTTATCATTTTTATACGAATTGGAACATTTTTCAGAAATACTGGGAAAACTACGTTTTTTTTTAGAATTGTTCACACATGTAAACTCTGAAATATTCTGTGTTTTCTATCCCATAATTTCTGAAAGAATGACTTAAATGACACTTTTTTAAATTTTATAAGATTTCACCAAAAAAAAAAAAAGAAATTTTAGATATCTTAAAATATTTCAAAATTCATATATGTACATATGAAATATGTGAAGAATTCTAGAAGGGATGTAGACTTTTTCAGAGCACTTCTGAATTTTCTTAGTAATTCTAAATTTGTATTAAAAAATCCGAGAAATTTTCTAAAGAATTATAAAATTATTCAGAAATTCTGAAAAAAGGTTTTCATCAAGGTTCATATTCTGATATCTCCAAATTAATAGAATTTTTGTAATTTTTGACATACACACCGTATTGGAATAATTGTGTATTTATCAGTTTGTACCCATGAAGAGTAAAGAATCCTACATTTCTATAAAGCTTCTGGACACCGTAAGTGAAATCGATTCAAACACATTGGAGAATTTCTTTTCTCGCTATCATCGAAGATCAACCGAGATCTTTTGTTAATGAAAATACGACTCATGCTTTATTTTTTATGAGTCCTCTGGAATAAAATTATTACTCGCAATTATTTTTTTGAGAATTTTGTTAAAAATCTTTCAAAAAATTTTTCAAGAATTTTTTCCACGCCAGAATAAGCTTACGTTGAAGCAAAATTAATTGATCGATCACGCGATGAGGAGCCTAGTTGGATATCTTGTGTCATGCGATATTACTTATCTTACATTTCTTTTCATATATCAATATATTTTAAGATCATCTTGCATTAATAACAAATGTTAAACGACTACTTTGAAAACCATGCCCAATGTTAGAAAAGACCGTATGAAGTATTCAATATTTTCTTGCTGCATTATTCTTAAACGTGTATCCATAGACCTGTAAATTTGTCTGTTTTTATATCTGAACTATACACTCATTAAATTTATAAGATTTGTTTTTTCTAGCTGAATATCTTATATACACTTTTTCCTTCGTTTTTTCAACGTTCTACTAAAACGGATAAGCCTAAACTAAAGCTGTGCGACTATTTTTCCTATAAATTGTCTGAACATGTATATATTGCTTTAAAGAAGAGAGTGATTCAAGGTAGTAGAAGATGTTGATATATTAATTGATTCAGCGAATGTTATAGGCATTTATGACTTGTCTAGAGTACAATCGTGTAGAAAATAAGAAGAGAACACGGCGGTTCTCCTTTTCTTCTTGTTTAATTTCTCGAAACTACTGACTCGCGAGAAATGGAATACTAGCGCTTCTAGATATTCAAAAATACATCGCTTCTGTTGTAGATGATTCTTTCGCGAGGCGCGAACTAACTACTTTTTTCTTCTTTTTCTTTCTTCTGTCCCCCTATCGCGCGTAGTTTAATTTCGGGAGGGGGGTCGAGGAGTTGAGAATTAAAAGTAAATCTATTTTTAATGGAACACTTGCAGGTAATCATAATAACGTGATTTCTTTCTCCTTTTGACCCAGTATAATTGCGGTGACAGGCCAAGTTAAATTTTATTACGTTTTTGCTGATTTCGTCCTATAAAATATTAGTTTTACAATGGCAAAGATACCACTCTTAATCCTCAAGTTCCTCGAGTCGGGCTAATATACAGTAGCGATACGATAAGCGTTCTGGCACGTTACGTCGGCTGTGAACGCCGTGATCAATTGACGAAACTGTGAGTGAAGGTACATTTTTTGTCTTAAAGTACGATTAACCTGATGAACAAGAAGCTCTCTTTCTCTTCTACGGTATGTCTCTATTCTCTCCCCTTTCGGACATCTTATTTCGCCATCTTACATTCTCGTCGCGTATCATCGCCCTGCGAGCGGCGCGCAATTTTCGCACATCTGTTTCTTCTAATTTTTTTTGGCTAGAGCTCGAGAATTTTGCTAAAAAAAATCACAGTGCGCATACACACGTTAACTTCTTATCGCAAGAATAATTTTTATACAAAAACAAAAATATTGTTTATTTTCGACGTCACAAACGAGAAACTACAATTGGATGAAATTCTGAAAATTTTACTTTTAATTCCGAGATATAGACATAAATTTCTTATATCCTCTATATTTCCGTTCCAGTTTTGTTAGACTTCTTTATTCCTACTTTAATTTTAATCTCTATGCGTTTGTAATTTGGACAAATAATTGATAACCGCGTCGTGGATATTAAACCTCATGCCCACATTCGCGGCTTTAATTTTATGCAACACTTAAATTTTAATAATTGATTATGTTATTTAACAGGAAATAACATACATGGTTGGCAGTAGAGATCAAGCTACACTCTAAGGACATTTTCACTAATTTCTTTTTTTTTTAGTGCTGATCTCAAAGTTAATTTGCATTTAAAAAAATTTACAAATGATTTGAGCAGTACCACGCACGGCACTAATATGCCTGTATACGTATTTTTTTGCAACAATGATATAATGATAGGCAACCTCCTTATATGATCCTTGATACATATGAAAAAGGGTGAATCTCTCACTTTATCTCAACGATTTCGTAAGTGGCAGTGAGAACGTATTATGCATAGGCATAGTACATAGACCGAACATATCATGTGCCATCGATATAGTAAACGATAGTTCCGCATGACAGATTCTCCGTTTGTAAGAGAAGAGAAATCTGAGTTGGGGATTCTCTTTCTTTCGCACATGAGAGCCAGGTCTCGCGTGTCATGCTCGGCCTATCTATGTCTATGATATTATGCATAGTCTTACACCCCGGACTAATCGCAAAGAGGACGAAGAACAAACAACGAAATTTAGATTTTGCTCGCGCAATACGACGCTTTACATCTACATTTGTAATCACTATTACAAAGATCGTTAATTATAATAATAAATAAACAATGATAAAGAAAACCAGGTCGAATCCGGTAAAAGAAATGTCGAGCGCGCTAAAAGTCGCATGACGATGTCGCGGACCGATTATTACGCTATTACGTCCTTTAATAATCAGAGACAGTCTTCTCTAGCCAATACCCGAGAGCTATATAAAAAAAAAATCGTGATCGCCGTCGGATATTTACAGGGAATAATCTAGCGATCCGATCGTCGGTGATATCTTTTTTATAGATAAGCAAGTTAGATTTGTACAAACAGGGCTAACTAACGAGCGAGCGAGCGAGCGAGCAGCACGAATCGGTCTTCATGTCTACCGAAAAGACTGCTCCTTCCTTTTAGTCTTTCTTCTTTCCTTGGGATCGGCTCACGAAGCTCTGTCGTGATAATTACGTTCCTAATAGCGAATTCCAATCGGGTGCAGATTAAAGCGCATACTAAAACGACTGCCGTACACAAATTGAGATAAAAATATACGTAAGTATATATATAATGTGCACATTAACGACATCACATCAAATAGAGCTTTTGACTTTTAGCATGCAATTGATATAGTGCAAAAATGTGCGACAAAGAGTCATCGTTATGTGAGTTGTATTCTTTTCTTTTCAATCAACGCTGGTTATTTAGAGAAATATAATGTCTCATTGTAGCACAGTTTTTCTATATATCAACACTTCATGCTTTTTAAAAGAAACTACATATATCAATGCTTGGTTTAGATATATGTCGTTAATATATGCACAGCTTTGCATACATACAATATATGCAGGATGAGATAAAAGCATGACAAATTAATATCTCTAAAAATATTGTTATTAGAGGAAGAAAAAATATCTTACAGAGTACATTCTTGGACTCAAGTACAGTAGAAAATGTATCGATCTAAATATTTTTTACTTAAAATATTTTATCCTAAAGTCGATATACAATATATATATATATATATATGTTTCGAGAGAAATTGTTATGCTTTTACCTCATTTCATGCGATATATATTTGCGGACGGTCGCCTACGAGCCCTCAAGGAGCCGGTCCCGCCTCTTTTCGCGTAGCTCTCAGGTACATGGATAATGCTTATCGTACGAAATGTCTTCTCGTCCCGCATTGACAAAAGGACTAACACTAGTAGCAGTGATCGCCACCATCCGGAAAAAATTTGCATTTCCCGGATGGTAGTGATCACTACTGTTGCAGTATACTCGGGAAGTCCAAATATATATGTTGCATGTAATCTCAGGAGGACTGGCCAGTTTGTGCCTGCAATGTCGTCGATACTGTCGATGACGATGACGAGGAAGTAGTGGTAGTTGTGCTAGTGGGGGTGACCAGCGGCATATACAAGGTAAATCCATCATAAACATCCATCAAGTCACGCATGCGATACTCCTCCAAACAGACGAATCCTTCCAAGGAAGGAGATTGCTTACGCGCGCAATCCATACAATGCACTACGTGACGCTTTTCCTGTTCGCGGATAAACAGGATATTGAACACTTCAATCTGTAAAAAAGTTAAATATTTCTTTTTAACCTATGATTAAATTTATTAAAAGAAGTAAATATGAAAATATAAGTAGAAAATAATATAATACGTAATAAAAAAAATATATATATTAAGTACAAATTATGTGCGATTGTATAATTTTAATAAAAAAGAAAGAAATAAATAAAATATTGAAGTAATATGTATATATATAGAATTTTATATATGAATTTGCTAATTGTAGATCTACGGAATCTTGTTTATTGCTCCTATTCATCACTATTATTTCATATTGTATTATCAGAAGAGAGAAAACACAATAAAAATTCTTGCAAATTATATTTGTGTGAGTAAAAATATCTATTTTTTAAATAAAATAACATTTGTAGTCGATAGACTGAACTTATAAAAGTATACTGAAAATTACTATCTCTTGTATATTTTGAAAGAAATTAAATCATATTTATTTTTTATATATTATTAATTTAATAATTTGTCATAGTTATGAACGACATCTCATTTCGTTTACACACGCGCGCGCATGCATGCACGCACGTACGCATGTACATAATTCATTTCTAGATACATGATTCTTTATTAATTAATAAAATAAAAGGAGAATTATTTTGGTACATTTTACAAATAAGTTCTATCGATTATCATTTTATTGAAAAAATTTTTTATTTTAATATATTCTGTAAGAATTTTTTCTATATATTTTCTCACTTTTGACGTTACAATCTGAAATAATAAAAATTTCTTCTTAAAATTCCGAAAAGAAAAAGAAATAAATATCTAGACAACACGCTAATTTTCAAGATTAGCTTAAGAGGGAAAACATACCTCACACTGGCCACAATAATGCGAAGCCTCGTTTTTGCCGCGGCCATGGAAGCGCACTTCCACACCCTTACTCTTCACGAACTCCAGTATTAAGCAACACTGTCTCATCGTTCGCAAAAGACAATTTTTGATCAACTCGAACAATCGAGGATCCGACACCTTGATATTACGCGCCAAGTTCCATGAAAGATGCACCATTGGCACAATCGATTTAAATGCTTGCAGCTTGTTCCACTCATAACGCTCGATCGCGAGTTGATACTGTCTGGCAGTGAGCGGGCCAACGTTCCATGCAATATTGTTGCACCAACCAACCGCCTGTACCCAGTGCACGCAACCCGCGTTCACCCATACCAGATCACCTGGTCGCTGATGAAACCTGTACACTGGGATATTCTCTTCGAATAATTCTTCTAGATTCGGCCACCAACTACCATGTAGGTAACTGATGCCGTTGCGCTCGCAGAGTGAGCATATTACGCCCCAATACGCATCTGGTACCGCAAACCATTCGCAGTCGCCCGGTCCGATATTGATATTAATAGAACAAAAATTATTGTTCTCTTGATGTCCGGGTGTTCTACTACCAGGTACCTGAGAAAGATATAAATTAAATTACATTCAGAAACATTATTCAAATATGTGTAAAACGTTTCAATTTCCAATTTTATTATATTATATGTTTTAATGTACCTTCATATACAATTGTACGGTGTTCATTCCTAAGATTACATGCCCCACATGACTGAGCATATTACCAGCCGATATCACCCTAGCAAAGGCCGGTAACTTCATCAATTCGTGCAACTGTGGCTTCCATTTCCTCTCATCTGATAGATCCACGTTGGTACCAAAACGCAACATCTTAGTTCCTGGTCGACCAGATAGACCAAAATTGTTCTTTTTGCGTCGGACTGTTTGACCAGTGCTGTCTTTTGAGTCCGAGTCTGACAGATTAGAAGAATGTACGCCGCCCTGAACTTTCTCTTCTCTCAGACTCTCCTGAAAACTAGAGGCCTGATATTGCGCGTACTTGGCAATCGTTGTGTGACTGCGATGACTAATGCAGTTCCAGACTTTTTTGTTGAGCGCCGGATCCCAGTTCTCTTCGCTAGTTTGCTGCATTTGTGTGCGTACCTCAATACCGTGATCTGGATTCGCTTCGACCAGAGTCTTAGTTGAGAAAAGACCTAGATCAAGTTTGAGTGCTGCCGCGAGACCACGTACTACGGCAATTGGGTGTTTCAAACAAAATTCTTGCAGCTGCGGACTGAAAACGTCCTTTTTGTTCTCTAGAAAGACACTCGGAGCAGGCGGCGATAACTGTTCTTTCGTCAAGTGTATTCGTTGAATAGGTGGATCCGGTGGTGCCGGTGGTGGTGAACGATCGCTCAGTATCGAGCAATTCGGCACGCCTCTCAACCCTCGACCCTTGCACGCCTCGACTATCGCTCTAGAATCCATTTCAATACTCAACTCCTGTTCGGGTTGTGATTCGCACAACGACTCGAGTTTCAGATTCATCATCGATTCTGCCTTGGAAATATTGGTCGCTTCGCTCTTGTTTATCGTTGCCGTTGTCATCGTCGTACTAGAGGATAATGATGATGTCGTCGTCTCACACTTAACCGTCGTCATCTCACATTTCACCGTTGTTGCAGTTGTCGTCGCGGTCGTCGTTATGATTGTCGTTACAGCATCTGTCGTCGATTTAGACTGCGTCGATTGGGAAGTCACTTCTTCTGGTTTTTCCAGTTTCACCTCCTTTACCTTGTCAGCATTTTCCTCGAGATTCGACGGTGAGAACGGGCCGGAACTCAACGTACCGTTGTCATTGATAACACCGCTCGATGGTTCCTCCTTCACGACTGTTTCCAAATCGTCGGAACCGAAGTGCTTGAGCAAATCTTCCGCCAGCGACGTAGCTATGTCCTTTTGTGATAGCAACGCCTGCAACTCCTGATCCGTCACGCCCAGATTGTCCTTATTCGCTGCAGTAACCGTTGAGCTCTCCGAATAACCACTTGTCGCTGATGTGACCTGTGTATAACCTTGAGCAGCGTACTGATTCGGCTGTTGCTGATACTGACCACCATACTGAGCACCGCCTGTGATCGGTTGCCTCTGTGGCGGGTAAGTGGGGTCAGAGGCGGATTTGTAAGGCATTCCTGGTGTCTGCGTAGTGTTTCCAGTCGCCGCCGTATTGTAGCCGACATTGGTGTCCGAGAAGCCCGTTTGCAGCGCAACTGTACCTCCTTGCTGCAACTAAACGTTATTTAAAATGATTGACAATGAAATGGTGTATTTTCATTATCGACGTGCGTAATACACGCGCGCGCATATGTTACATATTTTATATAATTAAAAAATCAAGAAATATATCATATGTAATTTTCTTTTCTGTGATCAATAGCACAAATTTAACTTAAAAAAGATATTAAGTATTTACCGGCTGTTGCGGTATACCATAATTCTTGACAACACCTGACGATTGGCCGAGGTTCTGAGGATGACCGTATGTCGTGGGATAACCGGGCTGCCCTGGCCTAAGACCTCGTTGTCCCGCTTGTTGCTGTTGCCTGATTTGTTGCTGGTGTTGCTGCATCGCACGGTATTGATGTTGCAGTTGGACGAGCACATTTTGCTGCTGCGGTGTCAAGCTATTGATATTCTGTTGTAGAAAATGCAGCATTTGCAGTTGCTGCTGCGTTAGGTAGAACGGCGGCGTTCGTTGCTGCGGCACAGCTGATATCACCTCATCGGTCTTGAATTGAATTAATGCGAAGTTGAAATATTTAATCACATTATCTGTTCTCTGATTTATAATATAACTGAACTGTCTGCAAATACTTTATTAGAATCTTTATTTATAAAACACTGTATTAAATTAAACAAAAAATTATATATGTATAAAAGACAAATTAAAAGTTAGTTTTTAGAAACAATCTTTTTATAATATATTCTTTTACCTTAAATCGCTTAGCATTCTGTCCTTGAGCTTGAGGATAAGGTGGAGGTGGTCCAGTCGGCGTGGCACCATATTTGTACGAAGGTCCGCCGGGTTGCTGTTGTTGCTGCTGTCGGCTGGACATCTCTGCGCTAATCGGCAGATTCCAAGCCTCTTCGATTGACGGCAATTGCCGCCTCCTAGACAAAAAAATAAAAATTATATAAAAGCAGGAAACAAGCTTTATAACTATACATAAAAAAAAATACATTAAAGGTCGACTATATTTATATTGGCCTTTAAGGAAATACTAGAGTGACCAAATTTTGTCGGAACACTTTTGCAGATCGGTACAAATCTCCGAATTTATACTGAACGGAATAAAAAATCCTTTTACAAGATTAAAGTAGATGCAAAATTTTACAGTGGATTTTGTACTAATATCGAAAAAAGTTAAAAATTGACATTTTTTAACTCATAGAGTTATCACTTGACATTTATGTTTCCTTAGTATAAAAGTTTTATTGCTATAGTATATGGATAAACATAATTTAACATCTAATATTTTACGTACACAAACAATAACTGAAAATTTATGAAACTATAAGATTAAAAACGTAAAAAGAAAGATTTATATCGATCTGCGAATTACATATAGATATATGAATACTCGATAGTGAAAACTCGAAATGGTAAGCAAAGCAGTATATATAATTGTGTCTAATTATCTCTATCCATCTGTTTATTTCAATGTGTAAACTAGCTACATAAAAAATCGTTATAATGGAATCGTAATACGTAATTTGATTTGTCGACAACTCACTTGGTAGCGACGGAAGGCATTGGTGCTTGACTTAGATGACTCTGCAGAAAGCTGATGCGCTGTTGGAGGGACGGGTTCATCGGGTTGTTGCCACCGGACTTAACGCCACCCAGACCCGCGAATGGGCCCGTGCAATTTGCTATATTGCTGTTTCCCCTACGAATAATAAAGCGGAACTCTTATCACGCTGACCTAATAACTCAATGTAATCGTTGTTAATTTTTGAGATCGTCAAATGTAAACTCGGCCTTCAATCTACAACACGTGCCGATCGTTCTAGCACAAGATGATAATTACAAATCATAAAATTACACACGCCGTGACATACAAATGATAACGTAAAAAAGAAGTGACACATAATACAATTTGTTATAACTTAAAATTACAACGAGCGATTTGATAAATGCAAAGTAATCATTTACATAATTTTCATCTTTTAATTATATTTTATATTATATTTAATTTAATTATATTAATTAAAAAATTTAATGGAAAAGATCTAATGATCTAATGATCTAAATCAATAACAAAAGTAATGCCTATAAGAATCGAACATTGGATAATCGTATATATAATGCTTTTATTAATAAGTTTGATTAAACGTTTCGATCCTATCCTTCTCAATATCGCAAACAATAAACAGTAAACATTACATTAACGAAAAGTCTTATACAAAAACCATTAATTTGGAGGCTATGTAACTTGATAATACGTAGTAACATCTTTTACAATATAATTGTGAGAAAACGTTATGTCCACTACAGTATTTTTATTGTTAATTTCCAGATTAGACTAAAAAAAGTTATAGATATAATAGTGTATGCAAGTTTATAATAGACACTAACAATTTTCTTGAAACTTACATGATACATAACTTGGACAATTTGTTCGATGTGCCCAAAGCCGTAATCACACTAGCAATTGCTCGATTGTAATTGGACGCGTTCAGCAGACTCAACAGTTAAATGAGCGCTCACTGTTATTGCTGTATTCTTTTAGATCATCCAATCAGAATTTTAGATCTGGAAGAATACACCAATAATAGCGAGCGCTTACTCAACTGTTGAGTCCGCTGAATGCGCCCATTGACGATTGAGGATTATTTCTCAACCAATCAGAGCAAAGCAGTCACCGATTGATATACCGATTCTCGGATAATTCTCACTTGTGACGTAATAACTCAGTAGAATGCGCGTTCTTTTTGCATTCTGATAAGTGAAATTCAACTTTTTACCTACAAACTGCACAAAATCGAGATCATGTGCTTTACTGAGCCTCGTAGAGTACTCACTTTAAAATTGAGGTTATGAACCTGTGTTGGTATTTGTTAATTTTACCAAAGTAAGCAAGTAGTGATGTCGTTAATTTGAGTGTATTTCATACTCAGTTCACTTTAGACTCAGTTTCATTTGTGTGTAAATAGAAAGCAACTATTGTTTACAGTAGTGTATTTGTAGGACCCTAGAAGGTCTTCTTCTAGGATCTTTAACTTTCTCCTAATCAAATTTATGATAAAATTCTCGTCTGTGTTCAGTGATGACTGAAAGTTGATTAGTGTTCCAATTGAATATGGTTTTTATGTTCGTATATATTGTATAAGATGCTATTATATATTATCGAGTCACATATAATCTTCAAATTAGCGGTTTTTGTATAGACTTTTCGTTAATATAATTTTTACTGTTTTATTTTATTGTTTGCGATATTGAGAAGGATCCACACATAGGATTGAAACGTTCATCCAAACTTATTAATAAAAGCATTACACATGATTATCCAATGTTCGGTTCTTATAGACATTACTTTTATTGTTGATTTAATTATTAATGTGATCGATCGTTAGTAATTTAACTATATAATTAGTAACTGAACATATGGATCCTATGGTATGACTGAGATTTTTCTTAACTTTTAAATAATAATTTGGAATAATTTTACGTTTCATATATTTTTCACAGTTTTGAACATAAAACATTCTTTTAAAAAAATAAAACTAACAACAAAAATTATATTTTTTAACATTAAAAAATACGTGTTTTTGTTACAGATTAAATAACGAATAAATGTACTTGCCATAATGTTAAAGTAATAGAACTACAGTGGCATAATTGTAGAACGCTATAAAAATGACTCGCGCAATATGTAATTTACCTGGATGCGTTAACGTAACAGGCCAGGGCGTCTTTCGGTTGACTAACACTTTCGTATAATATGCCTAGATTAGTCCAAGCAGCCGAATGGGATTTGTCTAGTTGCACAGCACATATGTAGGCTTGCAATGCATCCATAGGCTGATTCTGTTGTTGGTATAGTACTCCTATACTACACCATGTGTCCGCATTGCCTTCCGATTTTTCGACTGAATTTCTATTGAGCACATGGAAAAGGTCATTAATTCCCAAACACAGAGGGACATAAAGTATAAATAAATATATATAAATTTGAAAGTATATATTAAATCTACCATACTTGCCTGTATATTCGTACTAGTGTGAATATCTTTGGAAAAAAATATTGGAAAGTTTCTTCGGTATTTTGTATTAATGCCCTATACAAATATCAATAAAAATATTATAATAAATGAATAAAAAAATATAAAAATAAATTTTTGGAACATGCGTAAACACACAAAAATGTAAAAATAAATTTTTAGAGCATGCGTAAATAAAAAAAAAAGAAAAATAAATATTTTAAAGCATGCGCATATTACGTTTCTTTCCAATTCCGAAAAAAATCTAAAATGTCTAAAAGAATATCCGTTAAGAAAATAATATTTAAGTAGAAGAAATATATAAAAATAATGATTATTTTAATTAATAAAAATTATTTCTAAATTGAGCAATATCATCATTTTTTCAAAAATTCATTCAATAGAAACTTTTCCATGAATAATACAAAAATTTCTGATGAATAACGCAATAAAATTCACAAACTGTTGTTTATTAAAATTACAATGCGGGAAAGTCAATTTTAATCTCACTAACAATAAGTTCTTTCACATAAAACATCATATTTCATAATTATAAAAAATGCACAATATAAAGTATATAAAACAACTTCTTTATAAAATACGCTCCACAGTCTAAATAATAAGTAAAGCATATAAAATAAAATTAATCTTTTTGTCCGAAAGTACGCGAACATTCTAGAAAATTCATACTTATACAAATTTTGTATATGTCGTAATTTTAGCTACAAATATAAAAAAAAGGGAAACTTCTTCAAACGACTACCTCGAATATCTTAAATGCAAAGCACATACGAGATACTTATTTTTTTATCTTCAATATTATATTATACAATACATTCATTAACATGTTTTTATGATTATTTAAAAAATCTCAAGCACACACAGTTCATTTTTAGATGGACCTCTGACACGTGAAATACGTCATATATTTTTTCGCGTTGGAATTTCAATTGACAAATTCACACTCGATGGCGTACCTGGTTTTCGAGTATCATTACCTGTATGCGATAAATGCATCGTGCACCTTTCCGGAGGCAGCCAGACAACGTCCTAAAAGATAAAGACTCTGTCCGCTCTTGGGTTCGGCTTCGATGGATTTCTGCAGGCACTGGATAGCTATGTGTTGCTTTTGCGCTCTAGTTATGCCCAGCACCGTGCATTCAACCACGTGGTGCATCCATCCTGCATGAAAAAAACGAAGACGAATGATACACGATATCGGTTCGTTATTTTCTTCTTTCGTCTGCCGTCTCGAAAACCGTATTATTACACGGACATGACGCTACATGACGAACTACTAGCGAACTAAACTGAATAGACTCTCAGGTATGGCTTAGGGCTACCCCCGGCAGCAATAGTTTTTACTGCTGCTGTCCCTTCTCTAGGGGGGCTGTCTAGAATTACTGCCTTATAAACATAGGCGCAGCAGCGCGAAAAAAGACCCTAGTATGTAACAAGATTTTCGTCCTCTCGATGAGAATAGAAGATCCTAAGGGATTTTCGCATAGCCGAGCGATTATATTCGTCAATTGCCTTTGAAGTCGTGTTTCAATTCTCTCAGGGATTGCGCTTGTTAATAATGAGATGTTTTATTAACTCTGCTCCCTCGGATTAACTGAAATCATCCAATTTCCTTGAAAAGCGATATAAAATAGAATATTCTTCTTTTCTAATACTATAACATAATGTAACGTATTTAGTATTCATATTTATTATATACTTATATATATGTATATATAATATTCATATATACGTATATATATATTTTATATATATGTATATGTTATATAATAAAAAAATAATATCCTTCCACGCGTTTCCGATATAACGGGACGTTGATTTATGGCCACTGCTTCTATATTTGCGCGACGCGTGTTTACCTGTTGATACCCCACGGATTAATCGTCGTGGGAAAAGCGGGGCGTTGGCAAGAAGTTGTTATTTGCGACAATAAATGCATGACCGTAAATAGGTGAACACGTGGCAGAACCGCCGCACGTGGGAACTGATGTTAATTAAGTCACTTGATCGGTTAATTTCAACCCACTTATTTTCTATCTCTTCAAGCTTTAATAACTATTTTATTTTATTGATGGAAGAAAACATAAAACTTTTTAAATTAATAATAATTATTAAGTGGGTGCAAAGATTTCTATTGTCCTTTTACCAAACTCTACTTTAAATAAAATTTAAAAATCTCAATTTTTAAGAAAAATATTTAAAAAAATTTCTTTTATATAAAAATGTACATCGTAGAATGCTATGATGACTGTTTCAACAAACAAAAACTCAAATCGATAACTCTCCTAGAGATAAAAACTTGAAAAAGGACAAAGCTTTCGTTTTAATATTTATCACACATTTTCAGTACATAGTATTTTAATCCAGAGAGAGAACACCCAAATTTTCAAACATTTTTGGAAATATTTCTGCCAAAGAATATTTATTCACGAGATTAAAATAAGCACTGGTCGTGCGATCGCACTGCCGCGGCCGCTTCGCTTGCTCGTCTACCTTTAATGTTATTTATTCACCTGGCGTATTTACCTGTCCTAAACACTACGTTCCATATGCGCTCGATTTGCAAATCTGCCCGACCTGCCTTTAAATCGGTCCACCTGGCTATGGTCGGCCTCGAAAGCTTAAATTTGTCAGTCGATTTAAATCACGCCAACCAATCATCCCGAAAAATTCTCTTCCAAACCTTCTCCCAATATTTCATTCAAAAGTACTAAACTTTTCACGAATATTTACATTTGTGTTTGTTACTTTAAAAAAAGATTTCATCAAAAAATTTTGAAGGAAAAATAAAATATATACAAAAAAATTATGAAACCAAAAAATACAAAACAGATTATTGAAAGCTTTTATGAAATATTTAGATACATTGTTGTTATTGTTCTAATTAAAATGATTTTTTACATAATTGAAGGCATAAGTTGCTGCAACAGTGGGTTAACCCACATGTTGTATAAACAAAATAAATAAATTCTAAAGCTAAAATGATGGGAAAAATATCACACGCATAATCGATGACTAATTCTATGTAATATTAGCCTGTAAGTCTAATTGTGTATATCTTCTCATAACACTTACAGAAAAAATATATAATAATATAATAACACAAAACACTACTTAAAAATTTTAATCACTTATCATGTTATGTTATAATATTAATCATACAGAATCCGAACTGATACACATAACATTTTGTATAAAAATCACAAAAGAATCAGTTACGAGAAGCTTATTTCATATTTTCTTAGTTTTATAATATATATATTAATAAATAAAATATAAAACAATATTAAGTAATAAAATCGACCGATGAGATAAAACAGAGTTTTTGTTTAAAATATGAAATATCTCACAAAATATTAACTTTTACTTTTATACATATCGTCTGTATTATGTGAATCTTTCATACTACAATCAATGAATAATACAAACTAAATTTGTTCGTCACGACTATTCAACGACGAAATACATCGCATATTGAGGGAGAAGGAAATCTTCGTTCTTTCGTTTTTTCTCACCACAGGAAAAGAGAGCGGACGAAGGAGAGCAACAAGACAGAATTCCAAAAAAAGGGAAATGAGACCGGTCGCGACCGGGACGGTTCGCCAACACGCGAGAATCCATAAACGGTCCGTAAAGTGGATGTCCCGTTCGCAATGTCCTCGAAAAAGTACAGCCCCGAAAAAAGAACCGCATCTTTCGTGAGATGAACGAGATGTGCAGACTTTCACCGTGAAGCGATCCGTTCCAAAGGGTGAAAAAAAACGCTCAACCGAGGCCCAAAAGTCCAAAACTTTACGTCGTATTGTTCAGAAAGTATAATAAATATAACGTTACAGCGATTAGTTTTTGAGCAGCTCGAAGGACACTTTCATCAGGAATTTTATTTTCCCTCTTTTTATTTATTTATTTTTTTTTTTTTTTAAGATAAATAGAAAAAGGGTGGAAGGAAGGTTTTTATTTTAGAAGAAAAATATGAGTCTTTATTTACCAACTCTCACGATCTACCTATGCTTCCTAGTAAACAAAAAAAGGAAGAAAAAGGATACCGTCTACGCACAAAGTGTTAAAAGAACAATAGCGAAAGAGCGATTTTTCCTTTGGATTGTCGAGTCTTCAGCCTCACAGATTCGGCTGAAGGCTCTCGGTGGGCCGGCTGCACTCTGCCAAGTAGTCTGCAGACACGTGTATTGATTTATTCCGGGTTAGGGTGGGTTGAGGGATGAGACGGAGAGGCAACTCAGGGGGAAGGAGGAAAGAGAGTGAATGAACGAGGAATAAAGAGGGTAGGAGAGGCCACGTGAATGGATCGGAGAGAGAGGGAGCGAGGCTCTAGTTGTGGGAAAACTATCCCTTAGCTTCTGTTTCTCTCGCACCTGCCCTATGTTTCTCTCTCTTCCTCCCATTTCTGTTCCAGACTGGCGCATAGACTACCGAATCGCGACGGGGTACGGGGAGGAACACGTTAAAGTGTTCCCCCTAGATCTAGGATCGCAGAACCCTCGAATATTTTCGGAAGTAATACAAAGTAAAATTGCAACGTCGAAGACTTCAATATTTCTATTTTAAATTATTATTGTTACGTCTGATTTTTTTGTATCTGATATTTTTTACGGAAACTATATTTTGAAATAATTACATATCAATAATAATAAATTAATTTAAAATATCAAAATTATCGTTTTGTTAAATCATGTTTTCCATTTAATGAAACAAATAATAAAATAATTTGATATAATAAATAATAAACAAAGGATGGATAAACACGATAATTGTGATATATCAAATTAATTGATTATTTATTAACATAAAGTTTTATGTCAAAATATAATTTATTTCACAACCCTTTTCTTAAAATGTAATTTAATTAATAACTTTTTAAATATAATCACGCAGGATAGAAAGCAGTTTCGAATAATTCAAATAAAAACTTTAAATTAAACGATAATTATGATAGCCTATTTATCTAATTCTCATGAAAGAATCGTAAATATTTCTAATTTGAATTAGAAGTTTAATTGTAACTCTTATTTATGACTAAAAATCATAAATAAATTTTATCAGAAGAATAAATTTATAGAATCTAGTATCAGCGCACTCCTCGCCCTGATGAAGTGAACGGTATGGTTCACGAAACGTTGGCATTAATAATGAAGAAGGACACGGCGATAACCTGCAAATCTTCTGGTATAATTGAAGAAAATACCCAAGCCTCAAAAACGTTTTATAGAACCTTTTTACTCTTTTATCGTGGTCTCCTGTGTGTTAAGTATGTGCTCTTACTAGAGAATGTTGGAACTTTCAAGTAAAACTTTCCGAAAGCAATATTTTTGTCTTACATTCCTCTTTCAACAATACTTAAAATATTTATATACGAAGTATTTACGCACTCCCCTGAGCTAGAACGTGTCAGAATCTCTAAGTATATTTACGAAAGAAACATATTTTATTCTCCTCTTTTTTACAAGGTCTCTAATATTTATATAAGATATCCCAGCAATTTTTATCTTTCCTTTTTCGTTCGTCTTAATACTTATTGACAAATAGGTCTCAATATCAAACTTAGCGATAAAATGTGAAAAACTAAAGATAAAAATCTCAAATTATCAGATTCCGCTTAAACACATCTTTTGTAAGTTGGCAACAATTTGCAATGTTTAATCGACACCGTTTTCATGAATTAAGGTTTTCTTTAAAAAAAATTTAAATTAATTTTTATTTATTAAAATAACACAAATTGATTGTTTTCTATTTTTTTTTTTAATAAAACAAAAGAAGAAAAAAAAATTAGCGATAGACTTACCCAATTGACGACAGATGTCGGCCTTCAGATGTAACGGCAGCTTTTCCTTCAGCAGAGCCTCGTAATGTTCCTTGGCCAGACGATACTTGCCCTGAACTTCGTATAAGTGAGCGATGTGGAACTTGACTACAACAAACACGCAAAAAAGGATTTCTCGGTAAAACTTTCCATAGAAAAAAATTTCTCTCCAAAGCTATATAGACGCGAAAATTATACCAAATATGTACCGTCGAAGAAGAGCTTATCGACCGAACGTAAAAATGAGAAAATTATCGATCACGATTAATCCAAGATTTGATTTCCACAGTTTTCTCAATAGTCGAATTGGTAAAAATACCCGTCACGAAATGTTGAGAGATTCAAATTTAAATCCTGGCTGCGGTAATATTTTTTGAGAAATTGTTTATAACTTTTTGCAACACTTATTAACACCAATATCATTGAACTATTTGCTAATTTAATTTATGATTTCAATGTCAATTTAAGATTGCACTTCAAGACCGAAAGTTATTTTAGCGCACAGTTTACAGAACTAGATATCCTAAATTTACACCGAAATATTATTTAAACACTAAAATCCAGCTCAGACTGGATAAGTTTACTTCTCGTTACTTAATTGTATATTCACATACGGTTTAATATCGCTTATTATTGTTGATTAATTTTCATCATATCGGTGGCACCGCAATAAGCACGTGGGCGAGACTGGTGCGCGAGCCACGCTCGGTCGGCTATTTAAAAGCCCGACTTCCGTTGGGAAATTATATATTCCCGCATTAAATTCCCGGTATCCAAAAGAGAATGATTCCCGCGCGAATCATCACGTGAAAAACGTGGATAGTACAATTCGGAGTCATGAATCAGCATAGTCATCATCAGCGTGTGATTCATCCGCGAGAAACCTCCGTGTCTCGGAACTTGTTCTACATAGATTTGTATACGAGATGTGGAGAGGGGGAATCCCCACGAAGTCTAATTTCAATATTAATGATAGATTTCCCGCTGAATTTAGAATCAATTTTTTTTCTCGGGGAAATATGAGACACTAAAAAATCAGGAATTTCCATCTTTATTTTATTTTAAAATTAAGATTCCATTGAAGTAAAGTCTGCAGAAATCAACGGAAGATATAACATTTGTTTAACAATCTGATTAATAACCATAAGTTCCAAATCGGACCGGAAATGCATTTTTATATTTTTTATTATAGTTCGACACAGGTAAGAGATACGTCAAAATGATCTGAAGCAAAAATGAAGGAAATTAAATGATCTTTCGAACGGCACCATTGATTTTATGATCGGATTTTATTTATGTCTTATAGAGAACAAAAATTGCAAATAGGTCCGATTTAGACCATTCTCCCCTACATCTCAATGTTCGTTATATCTATTAATTCATGAGTTTGTTGTTGAAATATTCAGATCAATTTTCTGGCTAGATAAGTACATGTTATTGCCCGGTTGTTAATAGAACCAAAAGTTGGTCATGAGTTCGCGCGCGAAAGATAGACAAGATCTTAAACCAGTAAAACTCGTATAACTCTCATAAATAGCTCCAGTCAAATCAAATCTTGTAATACTAATCAAAGATATATTGCTTGTAGTAGTTATTAGTACAAAAGCTACAATTTTTATAACAGAGAGCGATATAACTACACATTTTCGCAGAAGAATCGTTTCTTTATTCAAAAAGACAGTTTTTACGATTGACTATTACTGTCGCAATAAAATTTCAATCATTAAATTGAAACTTCACTTGATACTCTACCTTCTTTAGTTTGAAGTAAAATGTCATCTATTTAAAATATCTTGTACAGAACGTCAAAATATCGATTAAAAAATTTTGTAAGAAATTTCTTGTATTAAAAGTCAATTATAGGATGGTATACATATAGTTCGTTCTTATTTTAAGACCGTCCTATAAGGAACGTCTTAAGATGCTAATGCGATTCTCTGATTGGTTTATGACATTTAAAATTGTACTTAAAGCAGTCTTAAATATAAGAAGTAACTATGAATACCAACCTTAGCTTTTTCTGACAAATATTAGAGCTAAACTCGAGAGTAGTCTTGAAAAAAAATTATTGAAATAGACAATCACGCGGGAGTCATCTCATTGATATGAACAACGGACGAAAGGCGGTCAAGTTCGACGAAGGAAAGTGAGGGAGCGATTACAGAGTTGTGATGTGCGGGGAGTTGGCTGGGAGTTTTCCGGCTAACAACGATGCGAATAAAGGGGACGAACACTTACTCTCGAGCTTAGAGAAGGAGGCAGGTGTGGTGGCATCGATCAGGGCGAGAGTCAGGTGTTTCAAAGCGGCGTCGAACTCAGCGTGGACCTTCAGCATCAAGCCGAGCCGTAGGTGAACCTCGCAGGCCCGTGGAAATCCTGGTTCCACCCATAGCACCTGCTGGAACGCTTTCACGGCCCTGAAACGCAAGAGAAACGCAAAGACCGTTATAAATTGAATAAATAATTAAATAAATTGCGTTTTAAGGCATAACAAGAGATAAGACAAACTCGAACGAGTTTATCTGAAAGACATAATTCGTGTTCTGAAAAAGTATAGAGAAAAAGAGGCGATTATGGAATGGATAAGGGATTATAGAATATCACGGTATCTCTTAAATAATTTGTAATTTTTTAATTTGCAGGTCTGCTTATATTTAATAAATATTTACTTAAAACTTTTTATATTTAAACAAATATTTATATTAAAATTTAATTTTTGTTTCAGTAACTATAAATTATATTATACTAATTGGCAATATTCCATATTCCCTCTGCTGTTCTATAATCGCAACCTTTTTTCCTTCTTCAGTTTTTTTATAATTACGTTCGTTCTACTATATACGAAGAACTTTTACCTATAACATAATTGATATCATTCTATGGCTAACAAACTTGTACTAGAAGTATATAGTCATATGTATGAATATCTATTGAGTTATTTAAAAAAATACATAAAATCGTATTCCATAATTCCCTCCCTTCCTCTCAGTATTTAATATATTGTGTATATGTGTGTGCGTGTGTGTGTGTGTGTAGTGTTTCTTATAATTCATGATTTCAATAAAAGATTATTCGATAAAATTTGAAACCAAATTTCCCTTTTTTAGCGAAAATATCAGACTTAGAACTTTTGCAAATTACGAATTTTAAAATTATACGTATATTAGAATGTTGTCTCGAAACTTAGAAAAGATACAAGATTGTTTTTGGAAAATAAAGTCTCGAACGAAAACATTTTATTCTACATATTTTGTTTATTTCTTAATAATTTTCTTCTTTTTCCGGTCGAAATAGTTCGGAAATCTTCGAGAGACTCGAGACTTTGCATATAGAGAGAGAATTAGGTATTCAATTTCGCAAACAAATTTATTTTGTCACATTGTTATTATCGTGATCGTCCGAGCGAAATTACCTCACGTTGCTCTTTGCCGTGCTTTTTGTTCCCCGTGAACCTCAACGCCGTGTGCACGCGACGTGGCAAGGTGGGCACGCAGGAAGTGGCTAGTATGTAGTCGCTGTCACGCGACAAAGGGGGCTCCGCGAAAGAAAGGAAGGGGGAGCGGCGATGCGCGTAACAGTAACAATTGTCGCAAACGGTATATCGCAAACCCGCGCCATGCGCGACGCAATCGATATACACTGATCGATCGCACGGATGCACACGGAAAGCCGGAAACGAATACTTAATAAACGCGTGCGTGCGAAAAAACATAGCGTGGTAACCGGGCGACTGTAATATCGTGGCCGTGCGATCCACGATTAAACAGCTCACTTCACGGGTTGCACAAAAAGAGGGGTATTCTTAAAAAGTAAAAATTACGCATTGCGAAATTTAGGATTACTCTTCACGAGGATCTGGCGAAAGATTTTTAAGCTACGATAGTGATTAATGAGGAAATGTGGAAAATTGGAAAAATTTATGTAATTATAATATTATAAAATTTATGTAATATAATTTTAAAATAGAGAGGGAATAATTATATAAGCACACATCAGGAGATATATATATATATAATTTATAATTCTAAAGTAGAAGATTGGAATTATAAATAAGATGAAATTATGCACATACATTAATAATTATTACTTAAATTATAATTAAATATGTGTATATATAGAAATAATCTCCAATATAAATTGCACATCCTGAAAGTCACATTAATCATGCAATCACACAATTGAAAAATATGTGTTAAACTTAACGCATTTCGTATGTCTCAAGTGATCAACTCAAATTTTTGTGTTAATATTTCTTAATTAAAATTAATATTTATAATGTGATAAATTAATACATTTTATTCATTTAGTTTAAGGTTCAAGTTTCAAAAAAACATTATTTTTATATGTATTATTTTATTATATGTATTAAATTAACACTTGGATATATACAAAATTTAACAAGGACTTAAGGATCGCTTTTAACACAAATAAAAATATTTTTAATGTTATACGGATGGATATAAGAAAAATAACCACGTAACTGGATAAAGAAAAAAAAACGTAACTGGATAAAGAAACATTTTTATTTACAATTTTTTAAGCGCTCGATAAAAATAAAATATAAAAAAATGAATTCTTAGAATAATACTTTTCTTCAATTATATATAATTCTTGAGAAATTATCTGAGAATCGCTAATACAAAAGTATCACATTTAACGCACGCAATTTGTAATGCGTTAAGAAAATGTTCCAATAATGTGCACAAAGTTTGCTTTCCTCAGGAGGGGTAGTTGCAGGGCAACTCGTGTTGCACGAGGGTGTGCCTTCGATCGCTATTTTATTCAGAGCGTCGTCGTTGCTGGACGCAAGCCAATGTCAGTTTACAGCCAGGCAAGAGCAACGTCGTCGAAGACGTCACTTTCGTTCCCGTTAAACGACGGACGTTTGTGACGATTATAAATATATAGGTCACTGCACTGAATTCCTGTGTAAATCTCTTCTCAGAGCAAAGTGCATCATATTTTCTCCCTTCTCCCTTCCATCTACTGATTTTTCTTTCAAATTTTCATTCTATTCTTATTATATTTCATTTCTATGTACATAGCTTCCTTATTTCAAAAATGACATAGATCAAAAACGTAATTTCCGAATTACTCGTATTATCACGGAAATATTACCTTATCAATCATCAAAAATAAACTAACTTAATTTTTAAAAAATCGCCAAAATCATCCCATTCAAAGTGATAGTTTCTTGTTTCTTAAGTATTGTGAAACAAAAGTGACATTTGATCATATTAATCCTCTGTCTGCAATTATTTCTCTCTCTATCTGCATCCTTTTTGCCTAGTCCAAGTTTTTTTACCGTTCTAAGCCTTCACAAAATGTGGAAGACTACAGGATTAAATACTTTTCAACATCTCAATTAAATTACCAAATAAATTTTTAACTTAAATATTAAAACCTTTATTTAACAGAAATTGAAATTCGAGCAAAAAGGAAAATAAAATTTTATTTGTGTGAAAATTGCAGATCTAAATTGCAAATAGAAAGTTAAGAATATGTTCTTTTTTGTCGATATTATTTAGTCAATAATATTTTATCAAAATAAAAAAGTTTTTCTCTTTTTCTGGGGAAACCTATTTTTAGTATAATATGAGTTGTATTACTTTTGAAGTACCTAAGGGAAGATATGTTTCTTCTTGCATATTTTATTCTCATTTCGCTCGATCCTTATTGGGTCGACATTTTTATTTTTTAGCTTTGTCTTATTCTCTTTTCGGAGATACGACTCGAATAAAGCTCCCTTTATTTGTTTATTAGAAAAACGTGGCGCGACTTTGCGCCGGTCTACGCCAGCTTTAATCTTCCCCATATCGTTCCAATTTTAGTATGCGCGCACTGCCGAAGCCGGTACGCGTGTCGGCGTCACGTGTACATGTATGTACGCACACTTTGCGACCGCCTGCATGTGCGCGACACACTTTTCACAGAGTGGGGTTACGGCACACTTTTCCTATCCTAAGCGAGCGCGGTTATGAAACACGAGCGACGTAACGTAAGCGCGCGCGCGCGCGCGCCCGCGACTGCTTACGATTATCTCCATGAGCGATAAAGACCCGTAACAGCTGAGTCGCTGCCTTTCACCAAATGCAAGCTGCATTTTCGCGAGGCAGAACTTTACTAGCGCGAGCCGTGATCTCGTCATCGTGAAAACAAGGAGTGGAACTACGATTTTATGGAATTAGCAATTTTAACATTTTGTTTGTCCTCCTTTGGCTTTTATCGCCGTCTTTTCCAACAGAATAAAACAAATTGAGAGTGCTTTATACACAGAAAAATATCATTCTATTGCTAGGAAAAGTGACTACTCAATTTATCTTCTTCCTTTTAAGTAACGGTTATTTTTAACAAACAGAACATTTTCTTGTAATAATAATTTAAAATATACGTATTACAAATTTTAGAAAATCCCATTATTGTATACTCTAAACAAGAAATTATTTTCTCGTGAAAAATATTAAAAAATTAATCGAAGAAATTATTTCATATAATAGATACAAATCGAATTTGTCTTAATTTAATACTCTTGATTGAAGTATTAAACTTACTAGAATTCAGAATATATTTTAAATAAATTTGATGCTTATGACGAACTTATGACATCATGAACTTATAGATTTGCAGATGTATGAACTTTTAAAATACTTGAAACAAGTAATCGTTATTTGCTTACAGTATTTTTCTGTGTATGGCCGCAACTGTATGAGAAAATTTAAGATACCGAGTCTGAACTCTACGGTTAATATTTCAATGGTGCGATATTTATAGACGCACCTCTAATTGTCCATCATTTCTATCTATTAGGACGTGCGAATTCGGCACTCGATCTATTCGACTAATCAAAACGAGCATATCCATTTGACAGCGGATTGTCTTCTGTCAATTGTTGGTTAACGACGAGTGATTCTGTCTTGTGAACCTCAACCTGCCTCGTTCCTTGACGTCTCATAATTGTAATAATGTTTAAATGCATATATCGAGTCAACTCTAAACTGTTTATTAATTCTACCGATTCCATAGCTAATAATAACATTATACTGTCGATGTAAATCAACTTTAATTTTGGTTTAATATATTTTATATTCTTTTTTTGTAATTTAAAAAAATTAAAAAATAAATTTTAAACCAAGATCATAAAGTTCTACATTGGTAGAAACAGACATTATGTTTATTATCCATAAAGTGTCTCCAAGAAATATTCTTATAACTACATATTATATTATATATTCTCGTAATTACTGATCCTTCGCAGTTAATATTTATTTCAAAGACAGATTTTTCGATAAGAAATCAATAAATCTTAGGAGGCAAATAAATAGTAAACTGTATATAGCTTAAACGAAAGAGAGAAAGATCGTTTTGAAACGTGATTCATAAGGTATCGACGGATAACCGACGATTTAACAAGAGACTA